GTTCAAGACCAGCCTGGCCAACATGGTGAAACCCCGTCTCTACTAAAAATACAAAATTAGCCAGGCATGGTGGCAAGCACCTGTAATCCCAGCTGCTCAGGAGACTGAGGCAGGAGAATCCCTTAAACCCGCAAGGCAGAGGTTGCGGTGAGCCGAGATTACGCCACTGTCCTCCAGCCTGGGCGATAGAGCGAGACTCCGTCTCAAAAAAAAAAAAAAAAAAGGAACGAGAGCTTCAAGCTGCCGCCGCGGAGCTCATCAGCAGATGGCTGTGAGTTTTTCTAAGAGGGCGGCGGGCTGTGGGTGGAGGGAACGGTGCACGTGGGGCTTAGAGACAAGAACAGGTTTAGCCCCGGGGTCAGCCCAGCTGCTTGAGGAGCTTCGATTTGTAACCCGGGGTGGAGGTTCTCAAACAATGAAGATACCACACAACGTGTGATATTTTGGGCTTGACACGATCCTGTATACACACCTAAATTTTGATGCCTCTTCCCATGATTAATTTTCCCAAGGAAAAATGAAAGCACTGCAAGTATCCGTTTGCTTTATCTGCAGTAACAGTGGCTCCGAGAAGCAGATAGATAAGATAGGTATTAAGTGCAATTACAATGCTTTATAACTGGGTCAACATTCCTTTCTCTAGCAAACCAGAATGCATGTGAGAGTGACATCGCAGACGTTACACAGGCATCCACCTTTTTTTTTTTTTTTTTTTGTGACAGAGTCTCTGTTGCCCAGGCTAGAGTGCAGTGGCGTGATCTCAACATGGTCATCCCAAAGTGATGGGATGACAGGCATGAGCCACTGTGCCCGGCCTACTTTGACCTTTCTTTTTATTTATTTCTTTCTTTATTTGTTTATTTATTTTTTATTTTTTTGAGACAGAGTCTCGCTCTGTCGCCCAGGCTGGAGTGCAGTGGCCCGATCTCAGCTTACTACAAGCTCTGCCTCCCGGGTTCACGCCATTCTCCTGCCTCAGCCTCCCGAGTAGCTGGGACTACAGGCGCCTGCCACCTTGCCCGGCTAGTTTTTTGTATTTTCTAGTAGAGACGGGGTTTCACCGTGTTAGCCAGGATGGTCTCGATCTCCTGACCTCG